TATTGCCTTTCACGTTTGAGAATTTAACTCTGCAAAACTAAAGCTTTTTTGTCTTTTTTTGAAAAGTATTATTGGAGTATTGGCAAGTTTTACCATTCAGAGATTTACAAACTAATATTGAAACTGTAAAAAACAGTTTCATGTATACGCGCATTCACTAATGAGTAATGACAACTTATAAACCATACATTTTCCGATAACGACAGAACGCTTGTGTAGCCTTTAGTCGCTCTTAGTGACTAATAATTTTTTTTGAGGGGGGGGGGCAAAATGGGGGGGGGGGCAAAAAAAAATTTGGGGGGGCATTTGCCCCCCCTCCCCCCCCTGGCGCCGCCACTGCACTAGATATAGCGCATTTCTTTGTAGTAGAATTGAAGCCAAGAGTATTCCAGCGGTGACCCCCATTTGAATAGATGGCGGCCATGTTGGTGTTTCCCACTCGCTGCTATAACAAACAACAATTCATCATTTAAATAGTTTAAAAGTGTATTTGGAATAGGTTTAACTTAATGTTTAAGTTCCCTGTTTAAGAACTGAATAGAAAACATACGAATCTTCCGATTTCGTGGGAATATCCTGAGACTGCAATCACGGTTTCAATTTTTGAATGGCAGAATAATTAGATGCACTATCTGGTGTCAGTATATAAGATATCTATGCTCATGCAAGGTTCACTTAAAAGTCTGCCTCGTACCCAGTGGCTTTATATAATTGTAATACATGAAGTATTCAGGCAGGCAGGCAGGCAGGCAAGCAGGCAGGCAGGCGCACTCTTCCCACCAGCCCCTGCGACCTTCTCTTGCCACTATACAATACTTCATGTAAACTCGCCCTATGCCCTGTTTTTACAAAGAGACGCCTGGGTACGAGGCAGCTTAGGAGTGGCAACACCAATATTAAAAAACTCATTAATAATTCAGGAGCAAAACACAAAGAAAAATCATAAGGTGTCGTGGTTTTATATGTGATAAAAAATCACGTTAATTTACATAAACTTTAGCTTTGATTTTCTCGGTTTAGACAAAGTTTATTTTAAAAATTACTTCGCCAATGAACTCGTATAAGATGAGTCGTGATAAAACACTCCTACGCGTGCTTTAAATAGTACTTATAACTTGTCAAAAATGCAAATTAGATAAAATATATCATGGGAATATTTTTTTACAAGTAAAGTTAAATAATTCAAATTAGTTATACTTTCGATCTGCAAGTTCATCCGTTGAAAGTTGAACCTTCAAATTTCAATACTGTTCATGTGCCTCATCCAAACATGTCCAATACTGCCGCAATCAACGACTCGTGAAACTCGAAAGTCGTGATTCACGAGTTGTGGTTTATAGCCATTAGTTAGACCTTCACAATTTCGTGAGGGTTTACCATTCGACCGACCACGACTCGTAAAACATTCGTGGCCAGTGGACACGAGTGGTAATCTTTCACGAATTTAACGAGTCGTACGAATTTCGTGAGGTTTTACCATTTGACCAGGTGCATAGGACTTAGTCATCCTCCACTTGTGAAACCTTTGTCACGAGTGGACACGAGTGGTAAAATTTCACAAATTTAACGCGAGTCGTACGAATTTCGTGAAAGTTAGTTTAACAACTTATTTTAAGATTCGTTGACCTGTACGCCACCTCAGATGAAATAATATTTTTTCACAATTCGTATGGATTTTGTCCATATACAGGCACTTCTTAATTTTATATCGTTATAATTGGATGATATATAACTTAAATTATTAATAGTAATATACAAATAAAAAACACGACTCGTGAGTCACGACTTACGAATTTCACGGGTCGTTAAGTGCGACAGTATTGGACAACCATCTACAATTACACCATTATTTTTTGCTCTTATTCATGTGACTATATTTATCAAGGTTTTCGCCTACAAACGAGAAATTTGAGGGCATTTTCGGTTTTTGTGCCTAAGCTTTAGACTCATTTTAAATCATTTTTATACAAACAAACTCTTTTTCTTTTTTTTTTATTAACTTTGCAATCATATTTTATAAAAAATACACATACAGCTATGATTGAAGGATTGGATAACAGAACTAAAATCGTAATAAGTTCTTTGAATGTTTGCATGGCGATAAAATATAATTGTTTTTGTTAAATTTAAATTTTTTTTTGTAAATTTACGTGGTGTTTCCACAAACAAAAACAATTAGAACTAGAATCCCATATACTAAGTCCATCCATCTAACACTAAAACACGACATATTACGGACTGCAAACTGGACAACGTAAATACTGATTTTACAGGCCTTAAATGCTGATTTTACAGGCCTTAAATACTGATTTTACAGGCCTTAAAATACTGATTTTACAGGCCTTTAGAGATCACAAACCTTGTCTTTAAGAGTAGACAGGTTGGAATTCTTTTTAAACCTTCCCTTTTAAGCCTGAATTACTTTTCACCTAATTTCTATAATTTGGACAAGTTGAAATATTGGTGTATAAATATACTTAAGATGGCAACCTTAACTCCTTAAGTGAATCTAGAAGGCAAATTTATTTTGGTAAGTCAACTATCAATGGGATAAAACGATAGGCGCTAATTATTAATCTAGTATAACAATCTGAAACTTCTATATCAAAGCTGACGTTGCAATATCACAAACCATAGTGGGAGTATTTTGGGTACACCCTTTATACAGAGGATGTTTTTACTTGCATAGTTAATTTGGAGGCGTGTGTTTTTTAGGCGTTTTAATAAATAAGAATTTTTCATTGAATTGAATTACTTTTCATTGTAAGAGAAACTAGAAATATGTCTTGTTATTTCTGGGACATCTCGTCAATCGAAGTCAAACGACTTGCGACCTTATTTTTTTATCAATTCTGTTAAGTATACAGTAGTATGCAATAGTTATCATAAGTCTTCCAAAACCAAAGATGAATTACTTGAAGAAATCCGCATCTTAACAACTGTCTTATGGAACTCTCTTGACAACGAGTGAAGATGCCCGGACTAAAAACTCTCAAGTAATTTTATAAGTAATGTTACATGCAGTAATAGTCAGATCATGTAACTATATAGTTAACGGGAAAAGAAATGGAACAGTCATTCTTTGATCCTTAGTACATGTCCAGCTTTTTAAAATACTCTGATATGGTGTAGATTCTTTCCGAGTTTGCAGTAGGGCCTGTGAGACAGCTTTTATCATCACACTGCAACTTATCATTCATAACATAAACACGCATCGTGAGAGACAGAGTCCCAGACCATGTGTACTTTTCACCAGGCTTGATCAACTCGGCTTTCTCCTGGAACTCTTTGATGGCGGACTTCATCTTTTTAGCCTCGCTTTGAGGTATACTAAGAAATTCTGACAACACCCCGTCGCTCATTTTAAGTACAGAAGCCACATTTTGCCAACCATTTTTTGTCAAACCTGCTGTTTTCTTTTCGGTTATTTCGCGTGCGGCCACGTTGTTACGACTCGTCCCCCTTTCTCCCTCCTTCTCTGCAACGTGGGCGAGCAGACTGGCCCCAATCGCACACAGGGTGACCAAGCCACGCGTTACCCCAATCAAAAGTTCCCAGTCTATTTCATGAGTCATCCAGACATCGTGGTGCGTGTCGTTGAGAATGGAACAGCTCGAACCCATGATTCGGTATCCTATAGTGGCAGAAATCAGTAAGCTAGTTAGCTAGCTTCTTTCAAAAATGTCATGCTGTTAACTGGGGGGGGGGGGAGGCAGAAACTACCCTAATATTCCTCGGATCTTGCATTTAGGACCTGTTTCGTGTGACTATATGTGAGCTCAGCTTACTGAGAAACTCATCTGGGTGAAATCTACATGTCATCTTTTGTCCGCAACGCACATAAAATTCAATTTGTGTTCATGTGAAACAAGACAGCCCGACCAGGAAACTCATCTCGTCAAGTGGGATAAAATTCTCCATATGAATGCTTCAGTCCCACCCGACTGGGACGGACATCTTTTGCCGATTTCGTACAAACAGGAAATAAACATATCAGCATGCCCAAACAGGGTGCAGTTTGATGCTTGTGATGTTAGTCTGAGTGTATTTCCAAACCGGTGTCCCAGGATTTTCGCCCCCCCCTACACTTTCGCCCCCCGGGGGGCGAAATTCCTAGGAATATCGCCCCCCCCAGGGGGGCGAAAATCCTAGGAATTTCGCCCCCCTTTAGGAAATTCGCCCCCCTTTACAAACTTCACCTTTTCTTTAGGATTTTCGTCCTCCGTTCAATATTTCGCCCTTCCTAACAGTTGCATGGGATAATTATTACATGGCTTTAATCATTTGAAATCAATATCAATTCAAAATTGTTAAGACAGAGCTTGAAATAACAACCGATCACCGATCGGCAAGGAATTGCTTTAATATGATCGGGGGAAAAGCAGGGTTTCGGTTTCCATCTTGAAAAAAGCAGGGAAAGTCATGACTGCCGATCACCATGATCGTGAACTTTGGGAACGTTTATTATTTCAAGCCCTGCATGTAAGAATACAAATTTACAATTACATGTATCGAAAGGGCTTACACAGTTACAGTAGATCAATAGGACTTATGACGCTTCACAGCACACCATGCATATTTTTCATTTTCAGTGTTAATCCTTAAACTCATTGTTAAAAAGTAATCACCGTGGTGGTTATTGTAATTATTGGTATTGTTTTGCATCCACGTTTTGTCGTTATCGGAAAATGTATGGTTTGTCACTAATTTTTACTTGCATTATTTCAATATAGTTTGTAAATCTCAGAAGCGAAGGGTAGAACTTGCCAATAGGCAATACTCCAATAATATACGTTTCAAAAAAGACAAAAAAGCTTTTAGTTTTGCAGAGTTACATTCTCAA